CCCATTGTCTCTATTCTTTGCGTTCCTCAATTCTCTTCCTTCTCCTAGAGAAAGACAATGTTGTCCACCTGGGTGCTGGTCTGGTTGGTCTCCCTGAGGACCTTGTCCACAGCGCTGGATCCGACCCTGGAGGGGACATGGAGAGACTGGAAGGCCACTCACAGTAAGGAATATGGCCTGGTGAGTTTGCTCCACTAGAGCTCAAATCAATCTCTCCTTAGTTAGTTTCCATCTGTTGCTTCTTGTCCTGCCTTCTGGTGCTCTGGAAAATAAGTTGACTCTCTCCTCTTCTTTGTGGGAACCCCTCAAAGACTGGAACAGGCTGTCAGGTCTCCCCAAATCCTTCTTTTCTCTAGACTAGCCAAACCCAAATCCTTCAAACGTTCTTCGTATGTTTTAGTCTCCAGGCCTTTGATCACCTTAGTTGCTCTTCTCTGAACTTTTTCCAAAGTCTCAACATCTTTTTTGTAGCGTGGTGAGCAAAATTGGTTACAGTATTTCAGGGGTGGTCTCCCTAAAGTTTTATAAACCAGTACTAACACTTCGCGTGATCTTGATTCTAGGCCTCTGTTTATACAACCCAGGATTGTGTTAGCTTTTTGGGCTGCTGCCGCACATGGCTGGCTCGTGTTTAAGTGATCGTCCACTAGGACTCTAAGGTCCCTCTCACAGTGACTGTTTTTCAGCCAGGTCTGACCTAATCTGTGCTTGGACCTGTGTTTTATTTCTGCCTAAATGTAAAACTTTGCTTTTCTCCATGTTAAAACCATTGTTCAAGTTTGTCAAGATCTTTTTGGATCCTGAGCTTGTCTTCTGGGCTGTTGGCTGTTCCTGTCAGCTTAGAGTCATCTCCAAATTTGTGGAAGGGAAGATCCCTCATTCTAGGCCTGCCACTAGGTGCCACTAGGTGCTTAGACAATGGGACTAAAATAGATCTTCTTAATCCTGGCTGCCCATCAGGGGGAAGAATCCTTTCGGAGAGCCGTGTGGGAGGAGAATCTGAGGATGATCCACGACCACAACAGCCAGGCTGAGCAGGGAAAACACACCTACAAACTCGGGATGAATCACTTTGGTGACCTGGTACGTGTGGATCAAGGCTAGTTTGATTTATTCAATGGACATAGATGTCGGTTTGCTCAGTTTCTATAGTTGTTTCATTCCTTCACTCCCGCCATCTCAGTCAATGACTCTGGGCAATTCATGAATTCAATTAATTGATTATATCCTCCCTTTATCTCTTTTTCTGCAAATCATTCAAGGTGGTGAACATCCCCAAGATAAATTTCTCCTCCCATTTTCCCAACAACAACCCTGTGGGGTGGGTGGGGCTGAAGGAGACGGGCTGGCCCAAAGTCACCCAGCCGCTTTTCATGCCTAAGGCAGGACTAGAACTCACCGTCTCCTGGTGATTGGCCCAAGGTCACCCAGTTGGCTTTCATAGCTAAGGCGGGATTAGAACTGACAGTTTTCTTCTTTCTGGCCTGGCGCCTTAACCACTAGACCAGGCTGCCTCCAGCCACTGAGGGTTGAGCTTCATGTCCTTTGCAACCCCCAGACCCATGAAGAGATTAACCAGAGGCTGAAATGTTTCCTTCCTGACTCGGATCGGGCAGCTCTCAAGAACGCCGTCCCCTTCCAGCCCTCCGAAGACCTGCAGGTTCCCCCCGGGCTGGACTGGCGAGCCAAAGGGGCCGTGACTGAGGTCAAAGATCAGGTGGGGGCTGAAGGGCCTGGGGGGGTTGGGGGCTCTGACCAGCCAGGAATGGAGGAGGGAGGCAGAGGGGCTTTTAAGGAAAAGGAGGGGAGGGGTACGATCTGCCCATTTGCAATTCAGATCGGAATTTAGTGGATTCGTGAAATCCTGCAGACGAAGCTAAATTCTTTCCTCCGTTAACTGCATTTCTGAAGCTTCAGTTTTATCACAACTCCCGTATATCAAAAGAGAACAAACCCCACATTCCCTTCTAGCACTGATGGTGTTACCTAGTTGGGTAATGAGATGCTTGCAAGAAAACCACCAAGCTCAGAGAGTACAAAAGATGCCGTGGTCATCACCCTCCTCCTCCTCCTCCTCCTCCTCCTCCTCC